TTTACCCCTTTTAAATAGATTTTACACTAGACAAAACAGTCATTAACTATTTTCCTAAGAATTAGCAGTTTAAAGTTAACTAAAGTGCCAATAAACACTCCTCCTCAAAAATGCTCTCGGCGCACGTTAGTTAAACGTACGCCGAGCTTGTAGCCATGGCGAGAGGGAGAGGAAGAGGTAGAGGACGCCCACGGAAAAACCCACTAGCAGCTATCGAGAACCTTATCACTACAGTCAAGCAACCAGTTATGGAGAAATTAACCCCAGTAAACACTCCTCCAACAACAGTGCTGAGCTCATCTTCATCAATTGCAGGTGCTATATGCTCCATCGTATCTGCATCGCACCAATCCTCCGTCTTAAAGAAACTGGATCTAGTCTCCCCAGCTTCAATTGAAAAAGTATCAGATCTGGTGAATGAAGCTATCAATGGAACAGTTACCATGCAAAATCCAGTGCACAACCAAGCTCAGCCAACAGATGTACCGGTGGAACCTGTGATCATCAACAGAAAACTTGAGGAGCCTAAGCAAGCATGGTCAAATCTCTTTCAGGGTAACAGATTTGCAACAAATGGTATGCCACTAGATTACATACCACCTCTAATTGTAGATGGACAACCAATAGTGCAATTGAACAAATTAGAGGTAGAGGAGGAAGAGAAGAAGTGGAAATGTGCGCTAATTGCATACATTTTAGGAGATGGTCCAGGATTTAACGCGATGAAAAGATATATTAACCTTCACTGGTCACATGTTCCAGAACCAGATCTATTCTATCATGATGAAGGCTACTACATAATCAGATTCAAAACGATGGAAGATGCTAAGGAAATCCTTTATGCTGGGCCTTATTCTATAGCTAATAGGCCTATAATTCTCAAACCTTGGACCCCTGACTTTGATTTCACTGAGGAATTCCCTACTGATATCCCACTGTGGGTTAAGTTTCCTAAACTTCCTATGTCCTGCTGGGGAATGAGATCTTTAAGTAGGATAGCAAGTGTATTAGGGAAGCCTATTTTTGCAGATGAATGTACAACTAAACAAACTCGAGTATCCTATGCTCGGATGCTTATAGAGATTAATGTCACCAAAGAGTTGCCAAGTGAAATATGGGTGATGGAACCAAATGGGAAGAAGTTCTTACAAGATGTGATCTATGATTGGAAGCCTTCCTTTTGTGAGAAATGCCAAACTGTAGGCCACAAGTGTCCAACCCAAATGAAACCAACTACTCACCAACCCAATCAACTGAAGAAAACAAAAGTTACTCAAGAATGGAGAACCAAGGCACCTGCCATTATTGCTGCTACTCACAAAAAAACCACATCATCAGCACCACAACATGATCATACAAACAAGTTGAATGAAGATCAGATAGCCATAGAGCCCAATGAGCTACTAAGTCTGATACCAGCCATGGAGAAACAGGAAGATAAAGGGAAAAAAGTTCAAAGCCCAGAATTCAATCTCCTTAATTTCCCTCCCTTATCACCTATCCCTGTAAGTAATAGGTTTGAAGCAGTGTCCAATGGCAAGTATGAAGTGCCACCGGGGGATAGAGGTGGACCAATCAATCAACAATGAAGTGGTTGTTCTGGAACATTAGAGGTGTAAATAAAAGGTACAAACAGAAGGAAGTTAGGGAGTACATTAGGAGTAATAAAATAAACCTAGTTGGCCTGGTAGAAACTAAGGTCAAAGAGGCAAATGCTCATAGAATTGCTAAGCTGCTGGTTCCTGGATGGGGCTTACTAACAAACTACAATGAAGCTAGAAATGGGAGAATATGGATACTATGGGATACTAATATACTTAATATTACTGGACTCCAGGATGATCCTCAAATGATACATTGCCTAGTCAGAAGTATAAGGGGAAATATCAATTGCTATCTCACTGTGGTTTATGGATTCAATGGGATAGAGCAAAGGAGGTCTTTATGGGAAAAGCTTCATCACTCTACAATAACTAATTACAGATGCATGGTTAGTAAGTGTAACGACCCGACCGGTCGTTTTGAGTCCTAGCGCTCCGTTCAGCAGTCGGAGGCCATGAACAGCTTCATTTCGAGTATTATGACTTGTACGCGTGGTCGGAATTAAGTTCCGGGAAGTTCAGAGTTGATTTAGAAAGAGAATTGTCATTTGGGAAGCTTGCAGTTGAAAGAATGAACTAGGATTGGATTTTTGAGTAAACGACCTCGGAATCAGGATCTGAAGGTTCCAGCAGGTTCGTATGATGATTCCGGACTTGGGCATATGCCCGGTTCAGGTTTTGGATAACCCGGGAGCGTTTTGGCGCCTATTGTGGAAGTTAGCAGTTTTAGAAGAAATTTCATAAGTTTGGTTTGAAGTGCATTTTAATGTTATCAATGTCCGTTTGGGATTCCGAGACTGTGTATAGCTCCGTATGGTGATTCTGGAGTTGGAAGCGCGATCGGAAGTGAATTCGGAGGTCTGTAGGTCATTTTGGAGCCATTTGGCTAAAGATAGAAATTTGAAGGTTTTTGGGAAGTTTGACCGGAGGTTAACTTTTGATATCGGGGTCGGAATCCGATTCCGGAAGTTGGAGTAGGTCCGTAATGTCAAATATGACTTGTGTGCAAAATTTGAGGTCAATCGGACGTGATTTGATAGGTTTAAGCATCGGAAGTAGAAGTTGGAAAGTTCAAAGTTCGTAAAGCTTGAATTGGGGTGTAATTCATGATTTTAGCGTTGTTTGATATGATTTGAAGCCTCGAGCCAGTCCGTAATGTGTTTTGGGATTGGTTGGTATGTTTGGTTGGGGTCCCGGGGGCCTCGGGTGGATTCCGGATGGTTAACGGATCAAATTTGGAAGTTGAAGAACAGCTGAAGGGGTCTGGTATTTCCGCTTCTGCGGAAATGGGACCGCAGAAGCGGCCCCGCAGAAGCGGCCCCGCAGAAGTGGACGAGGGCGAGGGCAGCCAGGACCGCAAAAGCGGCCCTTGATCCGCTGATGCGGAACCGCAGAAGCGGAAGACCTGGTGTGGAGGGGAGCCGCAGAAGTGGCAAGCGGTCCGCAGAAGCGGAACCGCGGAAGCGGGCAGGGTCCCGCTGAAGCGGAAATGACTGGGGCAGTGAGGATGTTTTAAGTTCGGGGTTGAGTTCATTTCAACCCCATTTTTCTTCCATTGGAGTCGATTGGGAGCAGCTTGGAGACGCCATTTTTTTCACTTGTCATGAGGTAAGTAATCTATACTAGCTTTTGAGCTAAATATATCAATTATACATGGATTTAGGCGTGAAAATTAGTATAAAAAGTGGGGTTTTGGTGGAAAACCTAGAAAATCATATTCTTGGAATTTAGCTACGATTTTGAGTATGGAATTAAGAGAAAATCATATATGTGAGTTCCTAAGGTCATGGGTAACCTTTGTCTTCGAGAAATTTTGGATTCCGGGCACGTAGGCCCGAGGGCATTTTTGGTCATTTCACTAAGCAGAGTTGGGAATTGGTATAATTTGCATTGTTAACAAGTAATTGAGAGTATTCTCATTAGTTTGTCGTTAATTGGCTAGTTTTGGAGCAATGTGCGTTGGTTCAAGCCTTCGGAAGAATGTAGAACGCCGGTTATGAGTCTTCGGAGCGAGGTAAATCTCCTTTCTAATCTTGTGAGGGGGAATTTACCCCATAGGTGAGTTAAATTGGTTATGTGCTCCTATTTGCGGGGGCTACGTACGCACGAGGAATACTTGTGTAGCTACTATTTGCTATTGTACGGGTATCTAGGACCCAAAAGCATGAATACTTGAATTAATTGTAAATTCTTGGATAGCTCAAGTTGCTTGTGTCACATGGAATTTGTAAATGAATTTCCAAAGAGATTTAACCTTACTTGTAAAATTTTGTTAAAAGAGGAATTTATATATATATATCGATAAACACTCCCTGATAAGTTCTTACTTGATTGATTGAGCATGTTATATTTGGATGAATTGTGAACCCTTTGAGGGTTTGAATTGCTTAAATCACATTAAATTTATAAATGGATTTCTAAAAAGACTTAAGCTTCGCTTCCTCAGAGTATTTAAAGAAAGATGGCCTTTCTTAGATAATTGCTCCATGTTGACTTATTGACTGACTGTCTATCTGTGTGTGTTTATTTTGGAACGGTCCGAACGCCTCGGCAGATTAATAGATGCATCTATAGGCGCGCAGTCGACCCTCGGCAAGTGCACATTTACTTTCTGTTGGATCGGGTTGTCGCCTCGGTATGATTTGCGCATGATATCTTTTATATATTGATGCATGAGGAATCTTAAATGATGACATTGCCTTTCATGGCTTGAGATGAACTCATTAAATGAAGAAAATTAAAATCTTGAAAATCCTTTGCTAATGGTTAAAAGGTGTTTACTTGTTTTACAGCTTTGTGAATTAGAATATGTTATATGAATCCTTGATTTCCCCACACATTTAATATATTATTATTGGACCGCTAGTGAGTGTCCAGGTTGACCATCTCGTCTCTACCTCTTCGAGGTTAGGCGGGATACTCACTGAGTACACGTTGATTACGTACTCATACTACACTTCTGTGCATTTTTGTTGCACAGGTATATGTTACTTTAGGTAGCAGCACAGATGATTTGGGGACTTGGTGAGCCGCATTGTTCGAGACGACCCGCAGCTAGAGTAGTCCCCTTCCAGTACTTTATTTATTGATTCTCTGTCCACTGCATTTCGGACAGACATTTGTATTTTATTTTTCTTACCAGTAGTTGCTCATGCACTTGTGACACCAGGTTCTGGGATGGTTTTCTTTGAAGATGTGTATTAATAGTTAATTTCTTCATTTGAATTGAAACAGAAATTGTTTTATATGTGAAAAATGGAAGTAAAACTCCTAGGTTTTCAAAGTTATAAAAAGAGAATTTAATTGGTGATTTAGTTGGCTTGCCTGACAGCGGTGTCCGGCGCCATCACGACCCGTAGTGGATCTTGGTCGTGACAAGTAGCAGGGGATTTCAATGCTATGTTATATCCCAATGACAGAAAATCATACAATCCTGTTAACCACTCAGAGATCCAAGAGTTCAGCTATTGTATTCAGCAAGCAGGACTATCAGAACTACCTTGGAAAGGAGATTATTACACTTGGACAAACAAACAGCCTGGAGCAGATAGAGTATGTAGCAGATTGGATAGAGTATTTGGCAACTATGAGTGGATGATGAATTGGAGTCATGTGGAAACAATTTATGGTCAACCTCAAATATCTGACCACAATCCTATGATTCTGATTCTAGCAGATTACTCTTGGAAGGGAAAAGTGCCTTTTAGATTCTTTAATGCATGGGTTGATCATGATAAGTTTCAACAAACTGTGGCAGATAGCTGGAACTTACCAAATAAGCCTGGAAATATGAAAGCAATTTGGTCCAACCTCAAAGCGTTGAAAGGCCCTTTAAAGGCTTTGAATGCTAAGGAATTCAAGAGCATTGCTCAGAGGATAGAACATACCAGACAGGAGTTGAAGGAAGTTCAAGAACAACTGGCAAGTTCATATTCTGATGCATTGTTACAGGAAGAAAAAGAGATAATCCTAAAGTTGGAAAGGTGGTCTCTAATTGAAGAAAGTGTGGTTCAGCAGAAGGCAAGAGCTAAATGGATTCAACTTGGAGACTCTAATACCAAGTACTTCACTGCAGTCCTGAAGAAAGAACACAAAGAAAACAGATCACAGAAATTACAAATGGCCTGGGTGAAAAACTAAATGATCCTGCAGATATAAAAAAGGAAATTCTGAATTTTTACAAGTCACTTATGGGTTCAGCAGCAGCATCCCTTCCTGCTATAAATAGAGAGTACATGGCTAATGGCCCCTTACTATCTCAGCAGCAAAGACTGGATCTCTGTGCAGAAGTAACTGACCTTGAAATTGTGGAGAGTCTTAAAGCCATTGGAGATGATAAAGCCCCAGGAATAGATGGTTATAATGCTGTTTTTTTCAAGAAAACCTGGAGTATTATCAGCAGGCAAGTCACAGAAGCTATCAAGGAATTCTTTCTCACCTCCAAGATGTATAAACCAATAAACTGTGCCACAATCACCTTGATACCTAAAGTTCCCAAACCCACCACTGTCAAGGAGTATAGACCTATTGCATGCTGCTCAGTGCTGTATAAAATGATTTCTAAAATCCTAGCTACTAGACTCCAAAAGGTCATGCCACATATCATTTGTGAAGCCCATCCTGGCAGGAAGATAGCTGATAATATTATCCTTGCTCATGAACTAGTCAAGTCCTATACTAGATCCCACATATCCCCCAGATGTATGATCAAAATTGACCTCTAGAAAGCATATGATTCAGTAGAATGGATCTTCCTACAACAGGTGATGGAAGAGATTGGCTTTCCTACCAGATTCATTAATTGGATCATGGAGTGCATTACAACAGTTAGCTTTACTGTGCCCATCAATGGAGAAACTACAGAACCATTTGAAGCTGCAAAGGGGCTTAGGCAAGGAGACCCCATATCTCATTTCCTGTTTGCAATAGTTATGGTGTATCTTAGTAGATCACTTGCTGAACTGAGGAAAGAAGCCATATTTCAATACCATCCAAGATGCAAAAAGTTGGGTATCACTCACATGAGCTTTGCTGATGATCTGCTTCTCTTTGCCAAAGGGGATCTACCTTCTATTATTGCCATGTTCCAATACTTTTCCCAATTCTCTGAAGCTTCTGGACTACAGGCCAATTTGGGTAAAAGCTCAGTTTATTTTGGGGGTGTGAAGCAGGAAGTGATGAAGCAGATTGTTGATCACCTTGGATTTGTGCATGGAGAATTACCATTTAAATATCTAGGCATCCCTCTGTCCACCAAGAAAATTGCCTTGATCCAATGGCAACCTTTAGTTGAGAAAATTACTGCCAAGATCTCTTCATGGACTGCCAGGAAGTTATCTTATGCTGGGAGAATACAGTTAATTCAATCTGTGGTATTTGGCATTCAATCTTATTGGGCTCAACTATTCCTTATTCCAGTCAAAGTGCTGAAGATGATTGAAGCAATTTGCAGAAGCTTTATATGGTCTGGATCTAACACCATCACTAAAAAAGCTTATGTTTCATGGGAGAGAATGTGCACTCCTAAATCTGCTGGTGGAATGAACATCATTAACTTTCTAATCTGGAACAAGGCAGCAATTGCTAAGGTATGCTGGGATTTAGCTCATAAAGAAGACAAGTTGTGGATTAGGTGGATCAATGCTTTCTATGTGAAACAACAGCAAATAGAGACTATGCCAATTCCAAAACAGGCTAGCTGGATGGTCAGAAGAATAATTGCCTCAAGAGGAATCCTACAACAAGTCCAACGCTCAAATGATCTCAGGTGCTCCATCAGACAAATATACCTTCAGCTTATAGGAGATCTGCCAAGAGTAAGCTGGAAGAACCTAATCTCTCAGAATTCTGCTCGACCAAAAGCTGTGTTTAATCTATGGTTATTGCTACAAGGAAGACTACCAACCATGGATAGACTGGCTAAGTGGGCAATGAACATTAACCAACAGTGTGTTTTGTGCCAAGAACATATAGAGACAAGAGATCATTTATTTCTGCAATGCTCATACTCAGAAAGCTTATGAAAACAAGTAATGCAATGGATTCAAGAAGATCATCTAAAGAGTCACAACTGGGATCAACACCTTCAATGGGTCATCAGCAAAGCTAAGGGGAGATCAAGTAGAGCCAGTATCTTCAAGATGGTGATCACTGAAATATCATATGCAATATGGATGGAAAGGAACACACGTATATTTGAGAAGAGATACTGCAATAGTGAAGCCTTAGCAAGAGAACTAGCTTATATTTGTAATGTTAGAGCAAGCCTTAGATCTAGGAATCATATGCAGCAATTTTTGTTATAGTTGAATAGTTATCATAGGTCTATTTTAATTAGTACAGTAGAGGAAGATTAGATAGTCAGCTGAGTATAAGCTGGACTATGGCTTTGTAAAGAACAATCCTTGGTGATTAATAAAATAATTAATTACCAAAAAAAAAAATTAACTAAAGTTTGCCTTTTAACTCTAGACTAGATAAATACATACTTAGGTTAGATAAATACATTTATAAAAACCTAATAATGAACGTAACATGAGTTAGCGGCTAAAGTTTACCCACAATTATACTACGTATCAAATTATCAACTGTCTTGCTTTATCGAATTTGATTCTGGAAGGTTTGATTCTCATATCTAGCTGGATTGTGATATTTGACTCTTACATCATTCAGAAATTTTGCTTTGTATGTCTATTTTCTTGACTGTATTTTCTTAATAATTTGATGGTACTTTATATGAAGTTTTTGTTCCAATGCTTCCGGGAATTAACTTTGAACTATGTGGGTATTAAGCGAAAGAAAGTGTTCTTGAAGGAAATACATATATTTATCTGGCAATTAGAAAAGTAAAAGCTATAAGAGTTTGATATTTGACGCTTCTCACATTTTGAAATTTTTTTTGTATGTCTAGTTTTTTTACTTTATTTTCTTTATTATTTGATGGTGCTTTATGTGAAGTTTTGATTCATGCTTGGCAGCTCTAGGAATTAACTTTGAACTATATGACGCCTCTATGTTTTTATATTGGACTTAATGCTATTGCAGTTTGGGTGAACGTATATGGTTGAATTTGATTGTTATATTTTTTCTCAACCGGAGAAATTATAATTGCCACAAACTAAAAATTAGTAAGTACTTTTTTAATGGTTGTAAGAAAGAAATTCGTATCAGATGTGAACTGGTTGAACCAATCTGTTAATGATTATCTCTAATGGGCATTGAATTAAAAAAAAAACTTGAGAGAAAGTGAAGGACAAATTATAGACTTTTATGCTCGTAACAATATTACGGGCATTGAATTTATCAGTTGTTCATTTTGATATAGGCAGATCTAGATATAAATTCTATGGACTCAATTTTCAAAGTTATTAATATTAAACTCATTCTTATTTTCAAGTTACGGGTTCAAACTAAAAATACTATTATTTGTTGTCTTCAAGATATTTCCCGTGGATTGTCGTATTTATGGTATTCTTCGTATTAAAGATATGATCTTTTAAAATTGTGCAGGCTTTGCGACATTCAACTTTGACTTTTCAAGCCGGGTTCTAACAAAAAATGTAAAGGTCATACATAAAAGAAAATTACTCTTGCGACTAATATGAATACAAGTCCGTCTGGAGTTTCTTGACTTCCAAAGTAAATCTATATCTATACTATATTAAAAGAACGAAGGGCCTTAGCAAAATATTGTTCGCCTTTTTTACCCTTTAAAAATAGATTTCACACTGAACAAAGTTATCATTAATGATAGTTCCGTAATATTAGGATTTTGAAATCAATATGAAGTCCTACAATTTAGGAAGTCAAAATCAATTAAAATTTTACCTTATATAATCACTTTCTTATTCAATAACATAACATAACTATTATACCGTCCTATTAATTTTTCTAATTTCTATATATCCAATAAAATACTTATAGTGAGCTTAAAGACTATAATTTAAAACTTGTTATAAAATAATAAAAGAAGAAGAAGAGTATTGCAGAGAAAAGTAGAGAGAGAGAATTCTTATTGATTTGGGATGAATTACAATAGAATAGAACCCTCTATTTATAGGGAGAGGTGACTTAGCCACCAAGTAATAAACCCTAGAATCTCTCTAAATATAGACATTCACCATAAATAGAACTCTATTTATAACACTCCCCCTTGAATGTCTATTCAATAGATAATGTGCCTCTTTAAAACCTTAACTAAAATAAAACCCAATGGGAAAAAAATTCTAGAAAGGAAAAAGAGTACACATATCTAATAATACGCCTTTTGGTTGCCTCATTAAAAACCTTGCAAGGAAAACCCAGTGGGACAAAACCTTGTAAGGGAAAAAGAGTACAACGCGTATTAACTCTCCCTGATGAGAGCATCAATTCACATCCTTAAGCATTTGCATTCCAATCTTGTGCACCATCTTCAAAAGATCTTTGGTAGATATCTGATAAAGAAATCAGCCATATTAACTTGAATGAATATATTGCACCTTGAAATCATCATTCTTGATAGAGATATAATGTCTTCATAAATATCGTAGAATGGCACTTCAATATCTCCATGGAGGTATTCTCGCTATCACATTATCATGCTTATAGTATAGCAAGATACATTTGTGCATAAATTGCATTGAGGATGTGGTACTTCAAGATCAAGATTGTATATGCTTCAAGCAATTTAAATCATTTGGGGATTGTCATATAAGTATAGTCAAATAAGCCAATTAAATAGACTTTAGATGCATATCAACTTTTCATGTCATGCTAGACATATAAGATAAATAAAAGTGATTGCACACACTATTGACTTTATACTTTCAAGTGTTTGAACTGCAGGTCCAAAACAACATGTCTTTCATATGAAACCAATTCTACTTGAATTGTTTATCTAGATTTAAGATCCTCATCTATACTTAGCGCTATCATAGATGTCGTCGACGAACATTTTATATCGGTTCCAACCTCCTTATTTTTCATAAAGACATAACATAGAGATCTCTTCATTCATATTTTCAGGTACCTAAATCTCTCTTGAGATTTTATGAAGTGTTATGTCATGTGATCTTCTAGATCACTTGCCTCCTTTATTATGATCATTTAGATCATTTGCTCATCTTCTTTATCAAGAAGTTTATTTGAAACCGATTTGT